TCTATTTTAATAACATTATCCCTGACCTTTGATTTATTGACCCTGAAATTAATGGACTTTTTCCCCTTTCCTATATCTTCCCTATAAATACGTTTCATTCCAATCAAGCATGAGATAATCAAGTTATCACCCGGAACCATTTGTGTGTTGCTTGGGCAAACATCCAAACAAAGTTTGCAATCGTCACTAACCATACCAATTTGATCTACATGTATAATATCTCTGACATCGACAAAAAAACTCGCATACCTTATATGTAAAAATACATTGATAAGGGGATAGGTTCTCAATGATATATTCACAGGCACTTGTCTCAGATTTTTTCCCCCTATATACCTTAATAATCTTTTCCCCCCATATACCTTAATTAAGGTATATAGGGGGAAAAAAATCTGAGACAAGTGCCTGTGGATATATTATACAATTTTCAAAAAAAATGTAATTATTTTCCCATTCAGTACAGTCAAGACTTTAATTTTCTTTAAGACTGTCATAGGATAATTTTTCGGTACTAGGTATACCGTAAATCAACATTACACACATGCATTTGAGCGATAAAGATGATATCTAAGTTAAAAATCGAAATATTTTAAGAATTCGCCATACCCGGAAAAGGGTAGTTCTTCCGTACTGAAAGTTTTTACACAGTCGTTCAAGACTTCCGGTGAATATTTTTTTAGCTTGGAAAAATGTAAACAAACAAGACATATTGTCACATGGTGTTATATTTGTGTATTTAGCTCTCGTATACAGCAAAAAAAACAAATAATAGGTATAAATATAAAAATGGTACTAGGTTGGTAAAAAACTAATGTCCCTATTCACTCAGGTTAAATATGTTCAGATTTTTACTAGCATGTGCCTTCTTGTAAATACACCTTATCGCTATTTAGTCCAATCCGAAAAAAACAGTCATTTAGACAACTTCCTGTTTGGGTCAACAGGCCGCAAACAAAGGTCGTCAGTAACGAGCTGAGGGAGGGAAAAATTTAGAAACCGATCAATAGGAAACTTTGATAGACTATGATCCACTTTTTCCAAACTCAAATTATAGTATTGTGTTTCAAGTATTTACGATGTTTTAAACAGGTCTCATTAAAAAGTATCATGCATGGTGCATTGTTTAAACAGGGTCCCAGATAGCGTCAACTGGATGAAAAAGTTGTGTAATTTTAGAACTTATCCGGAATGGAATAAATAGCGATTAGGTGTATTATCTTCAACATATTGAAGTTCAGAAGTATTATGTAGATATAAATATAGGTAAAGTTTGAGCTCGATATGGGTTAAGGCTATGTTTAAGGCAATTTTGATATAGTCTATTGAAAAAAAAATGATGTAAAGACAAAAGATAAGTCTTCAAAACAATACACGGGAAAATAAAGATTGAGTAAAATGGGGGCAGCCCCTATATTCCATCACCCCATTAGTCCGACTCCCCATTGGTCCGTCACCCCATTAGTCAGACACCCCATTAGTCATATGCCCCATGGGGCAAAACCCCAATGATCCGACACCGCATTGGTCTGACACTCCAATAGTCCGTTGTTGCCCTGAATATGAGTATAATATTTGATTTTTGACGTTAAACAGCCACTAAAAAATCTCATATTTTCTTTCATAGTATGTAAAATTGTTAAAGAAGAAATGGTTATTTGGCTAAATATCAATCCTAACATTTGCCTAACAAAACCTGTGATTTTTTTGTATAGAATTAGTAAGAAATTAAATCAGTTTCAAAGTCAGAAAAACACTTATATCAACTAAACGATAATATGGATAATATAAAAATAAGAAGATGTGGTATGATTGCCAATGTGACGACTCTCCACCAGAGACCAAGAGACACAGAAATGAACAACTATAGATTACTGTACGGCCTTCAACAATGGGCAAATGACTGTTAATTGATTTTTTTGGAAAAGGAAAAATGAAAAATAAATATAATTAACAGGACTGTTTTAAAAACATATATATAAGGCAATATTGAGGATAGAATTTGAAGTGATTTGTACAGGAATGGATCTAAACAGCCTTGACACAAAAACAATCTTTATGTCAAGATATGAAACAGAATTTTCCTTATACGCTGGTCAAAGTGTTTTTACATTTTACTTTGATAAAGCGAAACATGGAGACATGTTAATCTGGTGAGCAAGGAAGGGTTCATGTTTTCCCACCATTTTTTATAGAAAGATACATATATAATGGATTGGTACATGTAAAGTCTTGCCATGTTTTTATTAAAATTTGTTATTCATGAGGCGTTCTTGAATTCTAACTCATTGCATTCCTGTGTCAATGTCAGAGAAGTGCTGTGGGTTGCTAGAGTTATCTTCACATGTTTTCTTGTGCTGTGCAATAGATCAAAATTTCGACCGGTGATCGATTGTTTGTAAAGGGGAAAGAAAAGACAATCGATTAGTTTTCAAAGAAGAAAAATAAAACATGAATGGAAATAACAATGTAAAGAAAAAGAGTTTGTTGTTTTATGAATATGCAATTTCAAATCTAATCGCTGATATTTAAAGTACATTCCTATATATAGATATAAGAAGATGTGGTATGAGTGCCAATGAGACAACTCTCCATCCAAGTCACAATTTGTAAAAATAAACCATTATAGGTCAAAGTACGGCCTTCAACACGGAGCCTTGGCTCACACCAAAAAACAGCAAGCTATAAAGGGCCCCAAAAATGACTAGTGTAAAACAATTCAAACAGGAAAACCAACGGTCTAATCTATATAAAAAACCAGAAACAAGAAACACTTATGAATCACATCAAGAAACGACAACCACTGAACATCAGGTTCCTATGGCTTTTTGTACATGCTTGATTTGTCTTTTTTTGTAATGTCCAGTGGCAAATGTTTTATGTATTTTAATACAAGTTCATTCTGACAGCAAATTTCATCCGTTTTATCGAAGTTTCAACAAAGTCTTCAAATAAAGAACCAATTATAATCGATTGAACAATTTTACTATTGATGTTTTGAAAACACTTTTAAACTCACTAATTTTCGATTATATTATCAATTAACACCTCGAAAACTTTCAGATTTCTAAAGTTTTCGATCTACAAGTTCATGTACAGTGTAGATAAACAGAAATCATCATGCTTCAGAAAAAAATATTCCCTTTGCATGGTAAAATGATACTTTTTCGGTAATTACAGTTTCCGAGACTAAATTTCGTGAACTATGAGAGACTACACTACTGAGGACTGTTCTTTACATGTTCTTTTTGTGGAGTGTATTTTCCCATAGAACACACCGTGTATTAGTTAACCAAAACTTGCTAGGTTCTCGATTGATATATATGCATATTGTCATGGTATTATCTGTTTCGGTTTCTTTGACATACTTATAAGAAATAAGAAAGAGTAGTTCAAATCATGACTACGTAAACAACGATTCTATGAAATGAATTTTCTGTTTCGGCAGTACCAGTATTGTACCTTCCTGTGTCGGACTATTGGGGTGTCGGAATATCGGAGCGACCCCAGTAAAGTGAACCTAACCAAAAAAACCTTGGTGATTAAGTGCTCCGGTGGGTTTAGCATCTATACAAAGCCTTTTAGGGCGAGATTTGTAATTTGTTTACTTGCATAGTCCACCAGTGTTCAAATTGCAATAGGAACCCAACTTTTATACCTAGAATCCTCAATCCTGTGAATTGTTTAGTTCTGTAAGTTGCTTATTATTTGGAACAAAATGTTACATGAACTGACTTATCTAATGTACAAAATAAGTGACCAGAATCTTGCATGTATGGAAGAACATTTGTTTCTTGAAATGAAATAGGACATACATGTATCATGCTGATGCTAGTTATCCTCTTCCCTTAGGTGAAACAGTGCTTTTAGACATTCCATAGTTTACATTCAGTGTAATCATGTTCTTTTAGTCTGCTAAGCTATCCTTAGTTAGAAATGCAAGCTACATGTACATATAATGCACCACAAACAAAATATAGTTAATTATAACTTGAACACATACAGTTTTTAGTTAGACTTCTGATTATGTTTCGGAATGTCTTTCGTATCAAACCATAGTTCTAACTAAGGATTTTAGAAAAGGAGTCCAGGAACTCATAATTGTCGACTTTTTGGTGAGTCCAACAGTGAGAAGAAGGAATTTTACTGCTATATAATTTATTATTTCAGTCTCCATGACAAAATAGGGCAAGGGAATGACACCAAATTTAGATTATTTTGAATCTTTTGTTATTAAATAATGATATATATGCTATTTTGATACAAAATTTTACATTCTTAATGCATCTCTGGACTCATCAGTTTTGAAAATGATCAGTCCAGACAGATTTTCATGAGTCCAGGACTTGTGGACTCACCTTAGTGAATACCCTGTCAAACATATCAATTTGAGCTTGAAAAAAAGAATTATCATATAAGCTTTTAGAAATGACTGAAATGTAATGAAAACTTTCCATGCAATTGCCCTCCTCCCTCAAAAATTAAACAAATTAATTGGGATGATAAAGTTAGGACATGGCAATTTTGTGTAGATTTAGTTGTCAAGTTTTTATGAATAGATATATAAATGAAAGGAATTAAAAGAGGTGTGGGGTCTATACGTATACATGTACATCAAAAGAGGTGTGGGGTCTATACATGTACATTTAACCAGCAACCCAATGACGCAAATACATGTAACAAAAAGACACATTAAGGGCAACTGCATACATTTATTGTGAAATCATTTGGACCAATGCAGAAAAAGTTGTCTTTGTCAAATTTAGAACTGTAGTTTTAAGATAGGGCAAATAGGTGATAGGATTTATAAAAAACCAAGCACAGTTGATTTTAATAATATAAAATCATAGACTGTACTTGTTAGACATTTTCCTCAATAATCTACATGTAAATACAGTTTATAATGTACATTACTGATTTTTTAAGAAAATTATAGAAAAAGGGATTTAAAAAAGTGCAACTACCTGTACCATAATATTTCCTTTACTTTCATTTCAAGGTAAACAACAGAATTACTTGAAAAATGTGATGTTAACAATGGGAGTGACAACACTATGGAACTTGGTGATAGATAGTATACATGACCAAACATGTTACCACTTGTGATGTGTAACAATGGGAGTTACAAAGCTATGGACCTTGCTGACAGATACTTGTCAGTATGATTTACCTGTTTCCAGTTTACATGGCCAAACCATTGCAGTAGATTTAAGTTCCTGGATCTGTGAACTGAGGAAAATACAAATAGCACCATCAATACCAAATCTATACCTCAAGTAATTATTTAATAATATTTTAAATTATTCTGTTCCTTTATTCACTTAAGCTTGAAATCATGATCAAATGTTATTGGATTAAATATTCTTCAATTCAGTTTGATTTATTTGAATTAACTGTTTTAACTTTAATTTAGAACATACAATATGTCCATAATAAAATAAACATATTTTGCTTTCATCGACTTAATATTCTTCACTAGAATTTAAAGGTAGACTTAAAAAAGTCGACTAATGTTTTTTTTTGCAGGAATTTATATTACAGAACAACATTCTTTATGAAGCATGGCATCAAACTGGTATTTGTTGAAGATGGAACAGCACCAGAAATAAAAAAGGCAGCTTTGGTACACAGAAATAACAACAGAGAGACAAGCTTAGATAGAATAGGATTGAAATCTATATCTGAAAAAGTAAGACGAAATTTCTTTACTCTAAAGCTTGGGTGTCAAAATCACAGTACTGCAAACAACTCCGGTCACATTAGTCTATGGAGAAACGTGTATGTAGATAGTCAAAAAGTGACATGTATAAATATGATATATGTAGAGTTACTCTTATTTTATTATTAGCTAATCAGACATGGCAGTCTAGTTCAACTTTACCTGTCTGTCTATTAGTAATGAGTTGACATGTGAGTTAATAACCACCACGTCCATTTCTAGTCCAGACTGAAACATCACTAGATGATATCATAAGACAGTCTATATAAAAGTATACAACTGATGGTTCCATTCAAACAACAATTTAATTACATGTATGACTATGTATATTTTTTGTGTATGATTTGTTAAATATCCATTTGTTTACAATTAGTACAAAGCAATTTTAAACTTAACCTTTACTATGTATATATGGATACTTATAGTGCAGTCAACTATTCTATGACCTTTGTCAACCCTGCATCCATGTTTGAGTTTACAGTTATTAAAAAGGAGATGAGGGGGATACACCAATGAGACAACACTCCAATGACACAACTTAGCCAAAGACATCTAGAAGTCAACATATAGTCTTTGACAGCAGACAGGTGTCTATACAAATTTCTCCTCTTGTAAAAAAAGTTATTGATAAATTTTACAGATACTTACAAAGATCTTCCATCAACACCTACTTCTATTAACAAAAGACCCTAAGATATACAACATAAGACAACCACTGACTTGGCACAGTTGTGGTACAATTGTTGAGGCTTGGTTACACGGCATATGGTCATGATGTGGTGTTACACTATATAGCTAGTTTCCTTTAAATATCAACCTTCCCTTTTTTTCATGTTAATCAGCTGACTTTTAAAACAAGTCTTTTGTATTTTTTTAGTGCAGGGAGTTTTTGAACAACCTTGGTTTACCATGTATACAGAGTGTTGGAGAAGCTGAGGCTTTGTGTGCTCAACTTAATCATGCTGGTGTGAGTATTTAAGAACATACTGTTTTTATAAATATAAGAAGATGTGGTATAATTGCCAATGAGACAACTCTCCCCAAGAGACCTAATGACTTAGAAGATAAAAACTATAGGCCACTGACTGCCTTCAACAATAAGCTTAACCCAGACCACATAGTAAGCTGTAAAAGGCCTTGAAATGACAAATGTAAAACAATTCAAAAATGAAAACTAACAGCAGGACATGTACAGAACTATAAACAAAAAATAATAATTAAATATCAAGCAAGATACAACAACCACTGAATAGCAGGCTCCTGACTTTGGACAGGCATATACAGAATGTGGCGGGTTTAAACATGTTTGCAGACGCAAAACCCTCCCCCTAACCTAGGACAGTGGTGTAACAGTACAACATAAGAACTAACTATAAAAAAATCAGTTGAAAAGGGCTTAACTAATTAAATCAATACAAAGCACAATAAACTAGCAAAAACAAAAAAAGACAGAAAGTACAGATCTAGGAATTCTAGTAGTTACTGAAAGCTAGTTCAAAGCCCAAAACAAATAAATGAAAAAAAATTAATGTAAGACTAAAATATCATTGCACTTTTTACCTTATACAAGCATTTGTTGGCCATCTTTTTCTTCTTTATAACCTTTCATCTGATGGATATTGCAAGTAACAATGGGTCATCAATTTTAAGCATGACATGTTGTAAGCCTAAAGTTTAAACAAATTACTTTTATTAGTTTGTTGAAGTTTATAATTCATGTAATCTTATAAAGACTAAGACTGGACTTTATTAAGATTAAAGGAGAGTGGATTTCTGCAGTGCTTAAACTTTTTTTATCAGAGAGGCAACATTTTTAACTAATAGAAGGGAGATAACTCAATTGTTTTTTTCTTTTTCTCTATTCTTGAAGTAGAAAAAAACTAATGACTATCTCTTTGCTTCAATATAAGTAGACATAACTTTTAAAGAAAAACTGTACAGTAATCTATACATTGATGACTATATGAATTTCTGTTATTTTGTAGGTAGTAAATGGTGTATTGACATCTGATGGAGATGCTCTGTTATATGGTGCTAAAAAAGTCTACAGAAACTTCAAAATGAATGTGAGTAGTTTATCATTATAACATTATGAAAATTAACTTGGATAAAAAAGGAGGTACTGCAAATATGTAGATAACAATTGATATCCTATGACCTTTTCTTATGGCAAATGAAAAGAAGGGTTTTTCCTCACCGTAAAAAAAGTTTTAGACATAAATGAAGGGGAAGTAGTACTAGCTAAGGAAAAGAGACAATTCACTTGAAACACAACACCGATAGAAAACATGTTTACTGATAAACATATGTTCATATCAAATAGCAAAGTGTAATTTGCTCCAACTCTATCTTAATATAAAGGTATAATACTAAGGAGTTGAGGGATATTATTTTATTTAAGACAATTTTTTACTTATATAGTACAATGACATAGAGTCTATGTTCATGTTGAATTGCAAAGCTTAATCAATTGATTTATATATTTAAGAGGTAATTGTCATTTAAATTAAACAAGGAGACGTGGTATGATAGACAATAAGACAGCTATCCACCAGCAGCCAAACGAAGTAGATTTAAGCAACAGTAAGTCACCATACGGTCTTCAACAATGTGCAAAACCCATATGGTTTATAGCCAGCTATAAAATGCCCAGACATGAAAAATGGGAAACAAGTAAAAACAAAAAAAACCAACTGCCTGATTTATGACAAAACAATAAACAAAACAACAAATATAGCAGACTGAAACCAATGACAACCACTGAATTGTAGATTCCTGATTTGTGTCAGGCACTTTGAAACATAAATGAAATTTTCCCAGAATTTGCTAGATCTGTGATTTTTTTGTTTCTTTATAATCATTTAAACATTGAAATTTTTTTTAATTCTGTAATTTGACCACTTCTACCCTTTAAGTTTCACCCCCTCCTTATGTATTTTTCAGGATGGTACTGTAGATTGTTATGATATGGTTGAGATAGAAGAGAAGTTAAAAGTTGACAGAAAAGGTCTTGTTGCCATGGCATTATTATCTGGATGTGATTATGATAAAGATGGTGTTAAAAATGTTGGTGCACAGAAGGCGTATGAATTCGTACAACTCTGTACAAAGTTAGGTGTTGACCCACTGAACAGGTACATATAACATTGGTTAAGTGTAAAGATGAAAGAAAATAAAAAAATCTTATATGATGTGCTGCTTTCACTTTGTAAACAACAGCGTGTTCTCGATATAACAACATATAGCGCAGACTTGGAGATGTACATATTTATGACTGCTTATGACAGTTTACCCCCAAGCAAAGCCACATACATATATGGTAACAAACACTCTGTCGATTTCTCTGTGTGAAAATTGAAATTGAGAAAAAAATTATAGAGCTATTATTGCATAGCAAAAACAATAATTGCTAGGAAAAAATGTAGTAAATTAAAATAAAATTAAAATTCTGTGAAATTTCATGCATGATCTTGGCCCATTAACTTCATGTCAAAGATGATGTTGTACGAATGAAAACTCTTAAGCTGAAGGTTATTCTGGTTCTTGTATGCTTCAAATTTCGGATAAAATATCATTAAAAAGTAAGTTTTTGAGAAAGGTATTGACTTATTTTATATTATATTGCATTAATTGCACATTTATGGATTGCAGCAAGTTAATGTGGCAGCTCATAACTAAGGGATGACATGTCAACTGTAGATTTTACCGTAAATAGTAGCCAATAAAAAAAAATGAATTGAAAATTGCAAATGTTTAGGTTGAAATTATCAGGATTAGACACATTTTTTCAAGATGTTATTGAAGAAATAATTCATGCAAGCCATATATTTGTTGGCAATGTTTAAGCTTTATCTTAAAGGGGGTAAAATAGAACAGTCACACACACAGCAAATTTATCTTTGCCTCAGTATTATAATTACCATATTTCTCCTATTAGAATCAAAATAATTGTTTTGAAACACCTTGAATATGAATACTGGGCTGTGGTTTTATTTCAGTTTATTTGTTGCATATGATGAAAGTGTCAAAATAAAATGCACCAAAATTATTCTAAAATTCAAAATATTTTTAAAGCAAACATTTTGGTGATTAGGTGCCTATACTGATAATTCAGAAAGGTATGCAATATTTTTATCATTACAAAAAGTATGCCAGGATATGTTTCACAAAAATGTAAAACATACAATTGTAATGTTGATAGCATTGTGTCTATGCTAAATTTACTGAAAAAAATCCCAATAATTAATCTCTTATTTGTGTTCTTTGTTCAACAATCACAATAATAAATGCAGGCACAAACTTCTAAATTTATAGTATCAGTTTTGGGAAAGTGTACAGTTTTTAAGTGTAAGTTATACAAAATTTTTAAAGTATGAGAGTATTTAAGTTTCTCAAATTCATTGTGTTTTCACCAAAAAAAACTAAGCCCAAACATGAACACAGTCAAGTAATTAGATATTCCTGTACCATGAAGTCATAAGTTGTTTATAATTACTTGATGAGATTCACTATGTCATATGTTCAATGTGTTTAACCCGTCCACATTCTATATGTGCCTGTCCCAAGTCAGGAGCCTGTAATCAGTGGTTATCATTTGTTGCTGTCTGTCATATTTGTTTTTTTTTTATTGTTTTGTCATAAATCAGGCTGTTGGTTTTTTCTTTTGAATTGTTTCACATAATGTCATGTCTAGGACTTTTATTGCTGACTATACAGTTTGGGTTATGCTCATTGTTGAAGGCCGTACACTGTCCTATTGTTGCTTAAATCTGATTCATTCAGACTCTGTTTGATAGTTGTCTCATTGGCAATCATACCACATCTCTTTATTTTATATATATGTACAGATGATTTAAAATAGTTATTATCCATAGGATCATGACTTGGAGAACAAACAGTGAGTTAAAGACTTTACAGAAAGTGAAAGAAAGTCCACAGAAGAAACCATCACATTGTATTGTGTGTAAACATTTAGGTACGATTTTAAACTGTTGTGAAGATTGATAGAACATGTAAATATTGTAGAGACAGATTTTTTTTAAAAATTGTTTAAACAAAAGCGCTTTGTGCAAATTATGATAGAATTAGATCAGGCAACTAATTCATGCAATTCCACTTGGTCAGATCTACTGTCAACAACTATTAGATGAAAAAGCACCTTATAAATGTTGTGTTTCAAAAGCACTATATAAATGTTGTGTTTCAAAAGCACTTTATAAATGTTGTGTTTCAAAAGCACTATATAAATGTTGTGTTTCAAAAGCACTATATAAATGTTGTGTTTCAAAAGCACTTTATAAATGTTGTGTTTCAAAAGCACTTTTCTAGAATTTCCTTCATTAGGAACCCTCAAGCCTAAACATTTTTAAAATTTAAAGGCAGGAATGTAGAAATATCTAAAACATTGAATATATCTAAATAGCTCCTATCAGACTTTAATAGGCTTCAATTAATAATTTGGAAGAAAATGTGGATAATCATCGTATGATGGTCTTGCAATAGAGATATTTTAGTGAGATCAAGTGTAGATTACATCAGGTTCATTATGAAGTTTATATTTGATCTATGTTTAATGTTCAGTGACCAAATTCAAGTAGTTTTTACATAAAATTCAGCATTGACTTAAATACTCAACAGTGATTATGTCATAAGAAATTGTTTCTTGTAATAATTAGAAGTTTTATCTATGTGCCAATCAGAACTTTTCCACAGATTTTTTCTCTGGTATGTTACATTCTTCAAAACAGCCTGAAAATGCTTGAGATGTCTGTGTCAGATAAATATTCTATTCAGCCATATGAGGTCTTCTAGAACAATGGGTTCAGATGACTAAATGAAATTCTATATTATAAAAGTATCCTCAGAGTTACTGCTCTTCTAGCATTACAGAAACAAAAAGAACAGTTGCAGGATAATTCAGTCAACTAGCTATATATAGGTTTAAAACAACTTAGAAAATTTATTGATAATATGCTGTCTTTTTTAAATTGTAGATATAATGAGCACACAGTATCTTTATAGGAATTTAATAACTATGATAAGAATTGATTAGTTTTTCATGTCACCTATATTTAGATTTTGCTTTGCAATTAAACAGGTACTAAGCCTGACCATTTTAAGAATGGTTGTATACCATGTGACACAAAGCAGTCATGTGACTCAGATAATCAAATCAGCTGTACATGTGATAGTTGCAATGTTGATCTCCATAAGTTTGAATTGAAAATGAGAGAAAAAGCTTTGAGAGATCCAGGTTTTCCTAATCAAATGGTATGTATTCCCAACTGGTTGATTATTTTTTTATAATCAACATGTGGTTCATTTGATCTCAATTCTTCATTGGTCAATTATGACATCAAATTATCTTGCTTTCCTCTGAATTTTATATTGTGACATTACAAAAAAAGGGACCATGTCTGATGACATCACATATAAAGAACACATCTGTTTGCAGATCAGTGACAATTTTTGTCTGCATATCATCTAAAAATTAGAGAAACAGATTCAACCACTTAATCTGGTGCAATACAATATTTTTCCACTCTCGACCAATAAAATTACAATATTTAAAATGCTCGGTAAGCCTCATGTTTTAAATTTAAATTAAAAACTGTCTGGAGTGGAGAAATATGGTATCCCACTTGATGTAGTGGTAGAAATTCAATCTATATTTATACAACAATATAAAAATAAGAAGATGTGGTATGATTGCCAATGAGACAACTCTCCACCAGAGACCAAACGACATAGAAGTTAACAACTATAGGTCACCGTATGGCCTTCAACAATGAGCAAAACCCATACTGCATAGTCTACTATAAAAGGCCCCTAATTGACAAATGTAAAACAATTCACACGAGAAAAACTAATGGCCTGATTTATGTATAAAACAAAAAACGAAAAACAAATATGATATACAGCAACAAACAACAACTTCTGAAATACAGGCTCCTGACTTAGGACAGGCACATACAGAATGTGGCAGGGTTAAACTAGTTAAACCATTTTGACCTGGTATAGTGGTTTAACAGTACAACATAAGAACGAACTATACAAATCAGTTGAAAAGAGCTCAACTCATCAGATCGATACAAAGTAGAAAGACATCTAACAAGAACACAGACCGGACGTGGCAGGATATTTATACATCCCCACAACAAAAAAGACACTAAGTACAGATCTGAGAGTACTCGCAGTTACTGACAGCCAGTTCAAAGCCAATAACAATTAATAAAAAAATCATGCATCTAAGACTAAAATATCAATCAGTACACATCCAACATCCACTGGATTTTAGTAAAGACATCATTAACAGTCGGAGAAAAACATGACCTTATGCAATGCCAAGATACAGGTATCGACAGATTGTAGAGCCATGAATGTGCATATGTATATAGAAATAATAATTAGTTTGATTTTAATTTACTGATAACAAAATCAATGTTAGTGCCAATAAAAACAATATTCAAAGATCTAATTACAGTGTTGAATTGGTAACCTTTTAGAATAAGTTTATTTCAAAGACCCATAAGTTTACCCTGATGCACACTTTTATTGTTAGTCATATAAATGAATAAGAAGATAACAATTTTTAGTTTACCTTTTTTGAATATATCGGTTTCTCATGCAGTAAATATACCTGTAATATTGGTTAACAACATTTCCGTTTATACAGTGAGCCTTGGATGTGTACTAGAATTTCTTACTAATCTTTTACAGTTTTTACAGTTATTTTAAGAGAAATAAAACTTTTCTGACTCATGATATTGTATAAAATGATAAAAATACCTTTGATGAAAGAATTCAGACTAAGTACCTTAAACTATGACTATACATTCAGAAATGCTTCCATGCACTTATTATTGCAATTGTTGAATAATGGGGAAAAAATGTGAGATTTATTATTGTGATTTCAGGTAATGCTTCATAACGAATTATGCTATCAAAATTTGAAATATAAGTTTAATTTTTTGCTAAACATGCCCTGTGGCAAACTTTAGAATAATAAAAACATGAAATTTTGTTTATGAATTTACGATAAACTCACCATAGATAACATGCTATATAGATTAAACCTTAAAACTTTCTTTCACTTTTCTGGTTTGTTTAGGGTTCTTCTACATGATGTTCATAGTGTATGTTGATTATATATGTGAAGAAATATAGATTCTAGTTATAAATCATAACAAACTAAGGCTGAAGAAGTATTCTTTTTTCTGTATCATCAAATGAAGTACTTTGAACTTATTTTTAAGAATTGCAAGTTTTTTTATACAGTAATATTTAGTAAAATATTTATACCGGGTACTTGCATTGCAAAGAAAAAGATACAGAATTCAATTATATTATACTGTTGAGTACTTTACTTGCATTGCATATTGCCTTCATTAAATTTCATTTTGATCATTTTGAGTACGCCGATATTCTTTTATGACCATAAGGGATGCTACATATTTTCACTAATCATAAAGCATATGAAAGTTAACAGATTACACTACTTTGGTTTAATTTTTACTGAAGAAAAAAAATCACATCTTAGAATTCTATTACAGATAATTGATGAATTTCTGCAGTCAACAAAAGAATTACCATTACCTCTACTGGAATGGAAGCCAGTCAATGTATCCAGTCTAAAAACCTTTATCCAAAACCATATACGATGGGCAAATGTTGAATTCTTTAATAAAATATCTGAACTTCTAGTCATTCTACAGGTTAATGGTATGGAATGGGCAGTATTAGAAAAACTTCAACCTGAAAGGTACATTAGTCAGTTTTAGATATATGACCTGCAAGGAGTATTTGGAAAGGTTAAGCAAATATTTACACATAGTTTGAAAGTGATTAAACATATTTTTGTCGAGCCTGCGACTTTTGTCGCAGAAAGCTCAACATAGGGATAGTGATCCGCCGTTAGCTAACTTCTTAAAAGCTTTATATTTTAGAAGCTAGAAGACCTGGATGCTTAATACTTTGTATAAAGATGCCTTATGTTACGAAGTTTCCGTCTGTCATATGTCCATTGTCCTTGACCTCATTTTCATGGTTCAGTGACTACTTGATAAAAAAAGTCAACATTTTTTGTAATGTTAATTTCTTTCTTATTATGAGTAATAGGATAACTATATTTAGTATGTGCGTACCTTGCAAGGTCCTCATGCCCGTCAGACTATTTTCATTTGACCTCGACCTCATTTCATGGATCAGTGAACAAGGTTAAGTTTTCGTGGTCAAGTCCATATATCAGATACTATAAGCAGTAGGTCTACTATATTTGGTATATGGAATGATTGTAAGGTGTACATGTCCAACTGGTAGGTGTCATCTGACCTTGACCTGATTTTCTTGGTTCAGTGGTCAAAGTAAAGTTTTTGAGTTTTGGTCTTTTTTTCTAATACTTTATGCAATAGGTCAACTATAAATGGTGTATGGAAATATTTTATGATGTACATGTCAGTCTCACAGGTTTTATTTGACCTTGACCTCATTTTCACGGTTCATTTCTCAGTGTTAAGTTTTTGTGTTTTGGTCTGTTATTCTTCAACTATAAGCAATAGATCAACTATATTTGATGTATGGAAGGATTGTAAGGTGTATATGTCTGTCTGGCAGGTATCATCTGACCTTGACCTCATTTTCATGGTTCATTGGTCAATGTTAAGTTTTCATGGTTAAGTTTGTTTCTTAGATACTTTAAGCAATAGGTCAACTATATTTAATGCCTAAATTGATTGTAAGGTGCACATGTCTGTATGGCATGGTTCATCTGACCTTGACCTCATTTTCATGGTTCATTGGTCAATGTTAAGTTTTCTTGTTTAAGACTGTTTCTTAGAAACAATAAGCAATATATAGGTCAACTATGTTTTGTTTATTGAATGATTGTAAGGTGTACATGTATTTCTCGTTTGGTTTATCTGACCTTGATCTCATTTTCTTGGATCATGTTAAGTTTATGTGTTACTTGTAGTAAAGCTTTGTATTAAGGACTATCAACATAAAATCAATGGTTAGTAAAGAAGGCGAGACATTTCAGCGTGTGCACTCTTGTTTTATATATTACTTAAAGATTGAATGCATATGGTATGTAAAAAGAGTATTTAGCAATTATTGCAGAAAAAAAGAAATCTGAAATATTTAATAAAAAATTCAGTAAGACCTTTCTAAAATGAACCAGAATAAACTTGAATTCTTTATAAATAGAACAGATGTTTCAAGACACACTACAAATATTCTTGAGTAATCTAAGAAGGTCAACTCTTGTTATCTCGAAGTCATCTGGACCAGAGAAATATTTCGAGATACCCGTAGTTCAACTCAAACAAATACCGGAAGTTTGACAGACCAAAGGGACACAACTCTTGCTTAGCTTGGTAAGACTAGAATAAATCCAGATGAATATGGGTAGGGGATCGATATTCATGTCTGATATAGATGTATCTGTATGTAATGGTCTTTTATCATTATAATAAAATTATATGATTTTTGGTCTCTTATTTATTTTTTGTACAGTTACGATATTTTCCTGTGGTTTTAGCCGATAGTAAAATTTCCAATTGATCTAAGCGTGATTTATTTAAAATTTAGTTGACAAATTGTTCATTTTCGTATACAAGAAATTTTAGAAAATTTAGATTCCTTTTTCTTTTCCTTTTTTTCAATCTTTTTCTGCAAGATAAAATACAAACAGATTAAAGACGCTGATTGAGAAGTTTTGAGTTAATCACTAAGTCTTAATCCCTACTTTATGCACAACCAAGCTCATTATTGTATATTTACGATTAGTTGTTTTTATAACATTTTGAATAATTTTTCATAAACCATAACAATGTATCACTAATTATTTGTCATGGTGATGAAAGATAATCTAACCAAAAACTCGTAGAAATAGAATGTCATAAATCAATGCAGTGGTCAGTGACCGGAAATTCAATTACATGTGTATTGTCATATCATTTAAATCCCCGAGGTCATGTTTTGAGATATGTGTATTACTTCGAGATAAATAATGCATTTTGAATGCCTTTGTTAGCCTTGGGACCGTAAGTTTGGTTGGAGTCAACCGAAGTTTTGACTCATCCAATTTCCACTCATCAGGAGTCGAAATACATATATTTATATCGAACAAAGTTGGAGACTACGGGAAAACTTCGACTCAATCGAAATTTCCGGCCAACGGAATTTCGAAACAACAAGAGTTAACTGTATCTGAAACCTAAGGTTGGGTAAACTGAATCTTAATACCATAGATTTCACTGTAACAGAAGGAAATTGGACAAGATCCACAAAAGTAATTTTATACCATGTCATGGATGTAGTTATCATGGACATATATGTTCAGCTGAATTAAGTTCTCTGTTTAAAGTCCTTTTCTCAGAACCTAACTATGTTTTTTTTAATACATCATTTTACTTCTACAAATTTTTTGTATATAGCAAAGTTACAACAATTTATGCTGAAATACCTACTTTTTATGCTTAAATTATGCACATTTTTGTGATTGTTTCTTCTCCAATAACCCTGATAATACTTCAACAATACTTCAGTTTTACCATTATATTACACAGTAAAAATCCATTCTGCAACATTTCAACTCGATCCCTTTAATTATTCTTTTTTTCTCTGATATTTAGGCTTAAATAAGTCACTGTTATATATGATTATGTTCTAATTTTAGAATTGAACAATCTTGTAAGTTCTTACTTGAATTTGTCAATAAGTTACCTTGTTACACTTAATTCTTTTGAAGTTAGGACATTCATGTCTTAAAACACATCATTTTATAGTTGTTTTATATTTTCCATACTTTTTTTTACAGAATTGTTAGAAAGAGTATATTGAAAAAGACTCCTTCTGTTATTGTTGAGTGGACGAAACTAAGTATGTACTACTTATTAACACTTTTCAATGATCAGCCATGAAATTAATTTTTTTAAATTTTATGTTTTATTTGTAAAACTTATAAATTCAGACATAGGAAGTCTCCTATTTGCAGATGATTTAATTATATTATCAGAAAGTGAAAATGGTCTGCAAAATAGCTTGAATAATCTCTCTGAATATTGTGATAAATGGCAATAAACAGTTGATATAAAAAAATCTAAAACCATGATATTACACAATAACCCCAGTAAAAGAAATAAACCCTTTTTAAAATTTAAAAATGAAATATGTTATATGGACAATTATATTCAATTTTATTTAGCTAAACTGTGAGCTAACAAAAATAACTTAACACCAGACATCATTCATTTTATTGATAAAAGTATTTAAGAAAAAACCCAGCTGCATTTTTGTCGAGCCTGCGACTTTTGTCGCAGAAAGCTCGACATAGGGATAGTGATCCGGCGGCGGCGGCAGCGGTGGCGGCTGCGTTAGCTAACTTCTTAAAAGCTTTATATTTTAGAAGGTGGAAGACCTGGATGCTTCATACTTTGTATATGGATGCCTCATGTTACGAAGTTTCCGCCAGTCACATGTCCAATGTCCTTGACCTCATTTTCATGGTTCAGTGACTACTTGAAAAAAAAGTCAACATTTTTTGTAATGTTAAATTCTCTCTCATTATAAGTAGTAGGATAACTATATTTGGTATGTGCGTACCTTGCAAGGTCCTCATGTCCGTCAGACAGTTTTCACTTGACCTCGACCTCATTTCATGGATCAGTGAACAAGGTTAAGTTTTGGTGGTCAAGTCCATATCTCAGATACTATAAGCAATAGGTCTAGTATATTCGGTGTATGGAAGGACTGTAAGGTGTACATGTCAAACTGGCAGGTGTCATCTGACCTTGACCTCATTTTCATGGTTCAGTGGTTATAGTTAAGTTTTTGTGTTTTGGTCTGTTTTTCTTATACTGTATGCAATAGGTCTACTATATTTGGTGTATGGAATGATTGTAAGGTGTACATGTCTAGCTGGCAGGTGTCATCTGACCTTGACCTCATTTTCATGGTTCAGTGGTCAAAGTTAGGTTTTTGCGTTTTGGTATTTTTTTCTAATACTATATGCCATAGGTCAACTATATTTGGTGTATGGAAATATTTTATGATCTATATGTCAGTCATGCAGGTTTTATATGACCTTGACCTCATTTTCACGGTTCATTGCTCAGTGTTAAGTTTTTGTGTTTTGGTCTGTTTTTCTTAAACTATAAGCAATAGGTCAACTATATTTGTTTTATGGAAGAATTGTTAACTGTACATGTCTGCCTGGCACGGTTCATCTGACTTTGACCTCATTTTCATGGTTCATTGTCAATGTTTAGTTTTCTTGGTTAATGTTAAGTTTATGTGACGGTTTTAATAAAGCTTTATATTTAGGACTATCAACATAATATCAATGATTAGTAAAGAAGGCGAGACATTTCAGCATGTGCACTCTTGTGTTTAAAAAGCACTGGGAACAAAATAAACAAGAAGCTCAACAAATGTAGCTGTAAGAAATGAACTAATACTTCTGCTATTAGAAACTTTTATAAAAACCCAAACCATTGTGTACCTATCTAGATTAAATAATGAAAATCTAAACCCACTTCTTAATGAAGCATTTAACCTAACTAAAAATTTAGGTAATGAAGGAACATACTCTTGGTATACTTTTGTAAAAAATGTGTCACAAGAAATAAATTTTGACATCAAACTTATTGAAGAAACTAAAACTTTAAAACAGACTAAAAAGTTAAAACCAAGTCCCAATTGAAAAAAATGTTCTATAACTATTATCAAACTCTTATTAATGATAAAATAAACAACCTGAATGAAAATAATAAAATATATCTATATAAATTTCTTAAATCTAATATAAATAACTAAATGGAATACTACCTATCTCACCCAAACAAAGAAACAAGAAAAATGTTAACCAAATTTAGAATCAACGATCATTGTCTTTTAATAGAAACTGGAAGATGTACAAAAATACCAAGAAATGAAAGAAAATGTAAAATTTGTAATATCTTAGATGATGAATTCCATTTTTCTTTAGCTGTAAAATTAATAAAAATAATAGAGAAACCTTTTTAAAATATTATATCGAAAAATATGCCAATTTTAATACACTTAACGTAACCAATAAACTCTCAATTATACTAAATCCATCAACACCCAATGATATAAAAGCAGTCGTTTCTTTTATTAAAGAGTCATTAGAACTGAGGAAAGGAGACCAATAACTGTTTTTAACATGTATCTTAATATTGCTGAGTTTTTCTTCGGTTTGTTTTGTGTCTGTATTGCTATGACCAAAATTGATTTTTATTTGTTTTGCAATATTTAGTATAAAAATAGTATTTAAATTTTAATATATTTATTGATAGAATCATCACAATTGGGTTGTTCAAAAAACAATGTAATATGATATTATAGATTTAAAAATAAAATGAAAATGTTTTATTTTATGATTTTCTCAGTATATTTTGTTATTTCATTGATTAAGATTAATAGGGACAATTTTGAAAATTACCCTGCCACATGACAATAAGCCTGTCAATTGTTATTGCTGCTTATATTTAAGTGTGTATAAGTAATTTGATGGCAGATTTTTGTAGTCTTTGTTAAAAATCACAACTTGTCTAAACTCCTGGCAAATAAATGTTTTGATATTTATAGATTATCAATGGGTTTTCAAATGAGAGGGTATTTCTCAGCTACAATCTCATCGAATTGGGACAACCCTGAGATGAGATATAGCAGAAAAGCATCCTTGAGTTTGAAAGACCATTGATAATCATTTTATTGCTGTTTTCCTAGGCAATTGTTTAGTGTAAATTTATAGTTACAATATAATACTATTCAATGGAAAATTTACAATACATGTAGATGTATAGAACAAATATATTGATCATTCTTGTTATTTGCTAAAAGGATATTTGTGATCAAAGTCAATGACAGATTAACCATAAAACAAAAAAAAACAAGACATTTTGCTATTTAGCACCACATCTTTAAAACTACATGGTAAGATTGGTCATGTGTTGCTATGCATGGTTCATTTTATGACAAATTGACTGATTCTGAGAAACTCTTGTTTCTTTAGCTTTCCTCTAAAATCATTATGTTTATGTATCCAACAGGAATCGATACCAATACAGAGAATTCGAAGGAAATAACAGTGTCAGAAGAAAACTTCTCCAGGCGCTATCCCAGTATGTTACACGATTTTAACCAGAGAAAAGAAGAAGAAAAGCTTCGTAAACTCGAAGAAAAAAATGCCAATAAGAAAGGTTTGATTGAGTTGTTTTTTTAAATCATTTGACCAAATTTTTTTGTCTTAAGTTCATGTATTTTAAATTGAATTGATAATGTTAGTATGTTAAATTCGGATCAAAATTGTAACATACTGTCCCACATCTTGAGCCCTGCCATGCTCCCTGAGCAGGGATATAGTAATGTTCATCCGTTCATCTGTCCAAAACACTTTGTGAAGGCAGCTCCTCTGAGACCTTACAGAAAGCACTCATTCTTAGTAGAATTGTTTGACATTATGTGTAGGTGACCACATTATACTACATTCTGATTCAACATTTTTATGCCCTAGCTGTAGCGGAGGGGGCAATAAGGTTTACCCTTGACTGTCTGTACGTCCGTATGTCCTGAACTTTTATTTATTATAAATGGTAAAATTCCTGAATTTTTTGTTTCCGTTCTCTAACTTCAGTTTGCCTCAACCAAATGTTATGAAACTTATACACAATGCTTATTACCATAAAACACAGATCAAGTTCAAATTTGGGTGGCGTCACTTTTACATTTCTCATGTTATGTCCCTTTATGGTGTTTTATGCAAGCGGGGGCATCGTCTGTGTCCATCTGTCATTCTCCATTTATTTGTCTTGTGTTGACGATGTAAATAAACGAGACTGTTAACAATTTATTAGTTTGTCATCAGGTCAGTTTATGGGGAACCACTAGTGGTAGGTCAATGATATTTGGTATGCAGTTGTACTAGCATTGGCACATCTGATTACTTGGAGATTATTTGGCCCCAACCCCTCAGTCATGGTCTGTTGACTTTCAATGTTTTGCATAGTTTACATGTTAAAATTTGTGATTAGCTCAGTTTAAGATGAACCACTAATGTTAAGTCAATGATATTTGGTATGCTGATGTATTGGCATTTGGAAGTCTCATTTCCATGGAGATTATATGTTCCCACTCCCCATTGTCTTTGAAAGTTTGTGATAAGGTTTGTTTAAAGGGAACAACTTATAATAGGTCAATGGTAATTGGTATGCAGTTTTATAAGTGCTGGCATTTTCTCATTTCCATGGAGGTTATTTTGCTCTGCACCTTTAGTCATGATCCGTTGAATGATTTGCGTAGTTTTCATGTTTAAATATTGCGATTTTAATTTCAATATTTGCATTATACTATCAAAATTACAAAACCATATATCTCTGTGTCAACAGTTTATTTACAGGAGTTATGGGACTTTGAATTTTTTTTTAGTATTGTAACATTGACACCTGGTGAATGGGGCTCCCCTGAGACTGTTGGACAGAAAACTAACATACTTGGTAGGATTGTTTGCCATCAAATGTAGTTGACCATATTATACCCCCATTATTATTCAACAATTTTTATTGGTATTATGATGGGAATTTGAACATATTTTGACTAAAGTATCAACATGATTTCTTGTGACACACCAATTCATTCATCATTTTCACAGTAGTGGGAAATATTTCACAAAGCATAGCAATCTTGTTTTATTTAAGAGTACTATATGTTATTTTTTCCCATATTTTACAGTATGTTTTTATATTTGTGAAAATAAATACACAAGTACAAATGCTATTTACTTACATGAATTAACATCACCTAGATTATAAGGGTCCATGTCTGTTTACCTGACATAATTCAGTTGAACCATTTAACTTATAAAAATAACAACAGTTATCAATTCAAAAACCAATTATGTATAAACTGATCATAATTTAAAAGTGAAGGTGTGTTCCATCAACTTAAGATAATTTATGGTTATATGTTGAAGATTTTTAAGAGGTAGTTTGAGCATAAAATAAAGACTTCTCTTTTGCCTATTTACCAAAACTCATGGTTCTTACTTTTTGTCTGAAAGACCATTTTTTTAAGTGGCATCTAATATTATACACCTTATCGCTATTTGTCCGCCATTACTGACCATCACAGGCCATCATTGATGTTCCTGTAAAATTTGACGTCATAAGAGAAAATGTCTGAGGCAACAATGCAAAAGGAATTGTTGCCTTAAGTCAATTCTTCGAGTGTAGCAATATCTCTGGTCAAGTGTCGCAATATCTCTGGTCAAGTGTCGCAGATTCCAAAATAGCAAAGGTCTATTATTTAATTTTGACATTTCTTACAATAAAATGATTCATTTTTCTTTCAGGAAAGAAGAGAAAAGATACCAAAAATGATAAGGGACAGAGGTCTATTACAGACTGCTTTGCAATCACAAAAAAGGCCAGGAGGTCACCAACCCCTCCAATGAAAAATGCTAAAAGTTGGTCAGAGCAGGTTATTGACAATACTACTGTCACCAAACCAAAAAAGTCTAGAACTTCTGTAGCTAAGCATGCTGGCAGTTCTAATCAAATGTGTGATGTTGATAATACTACTGTCACCAAACCAAAAAAGTCTAGATCTTCTATAGCTAAACATGCTGGCAGTTCTAATCAAATGTGTGATGTTGATCTTACTACTTTCACCAAAAAAGCTAAATTTTCTCAATCTAAACAATCTGGTAGTTCTACAGGGGACTGTGATGTTATTATTATTGATTAATTAGTTGCTTGTTATGTTTTAGTGGTAAATGAAAGTTTGTGATAGAGAGAAAGAGGTATTAGAAGTTTAGTGTATGTTTAGTGTATGATTAGTTAGATTTCTGTTTTTACAGACATGTGATTTTACATATATGTAATCCAACTAAAGTGCACATTATTTTAATTCATTTTGCCAAGTGATGTTTATTTTTTATGTATATGTAAATCTATTGAGGAATTGATTTTGTTGCATAATGTGAACTTGTTGATATTCTTTTTCCAAAAATTGGTAACTTTTAAAGCCATGCAAAATTAATTTTTCAATCTTTGCACATTTCTTCATTGATTTATTGTAGATAAAAATGTTGATAAATTATTTTCTTTATCAAGTAAACGTTAATTTTTAACTTTTCAAAATTTATCCTTGACCCTTAGTAAATCGGTCACCTAAGCAATTATGTGCATTTTTATGCCCCTGCTATAGCGGAGGGGGCATTAAGTGTTACCCTTGTCCATCCCATCTGACGGTCCCGTCCTTCCAGAAAATTGGTTTCCCTTCTCGAACTTTAGTTTGCCTCAACCAAATGTTATAATGGCGTCACTTTTACCGTTCATGAGTTATGCCTCTTTATAAACATAAGAATTGCTGAATTTTTCGTTTCCGTTCTCTAACTTTAGTTTGCCTCAACAAAATGTTATGATTATAATCACAAAACAGTCTTAACTACGTGAATCCTGCATTTGTATATGGAAGTTGACTCATGCATATTTACAAGTGGGGGCATCTGTGGCCCATAGACACATTCTCCATTTATTTTGTTTTTCTCTTAATGGGATCATTAGAAGTTGTTTTTTTAAGAATTTTAATGTTTTTGCATGAACAAAAAATCAGGGTAACCAAACTTTAAAAAAAGATTGATCAAAATTGTACTTTGATATTGTGTTATCTATATTTTATTATAAGTAGCATTGATGTGTTAAATTTATGTGGTCCCTACACATTTTTAACATTGACAAGTTATAGTTTTTGTTAAAATTTTATGATCTTTTTAAAATTTTTAATATCTACAAATATTGTATTGATTGAAGTCTGCATTTATATTTGTTTGAAGAATATTTTTCAGTTGCATGAGGTCAAAATTTTTCATGACTTTGACAAAGATTATGCTGAAGCAAATCAGTAAAAGGCCACATACCACAATATTTGAGCCTACAAACTGAAGTATTTCTTTTGATTATTTCAAAACTAACTGATAGTAAATATTTTTAATTGATCTGGGTCCTTAATTGCATTTCATTCAATTAAATTACCTCAGAAAGTAAGAATGGAAATTGACACCGCTTATCTCCAATTTCAATGGAAAACTGCATATTCTTTTTTCAGGAAATAGTGATTGAATACTCGACCTTGTATTTTAAGAAGTCCCAAAATGTATGCATGTTCTTAAATATGTATTTGAAATGAAGTAAATATAATGTCTGATGATGAATTTTTGTAGTAAACATAGGTATTACTTTATGATTATCAAGTTTTGAATAAGTTTTAACTTGTTGCACTAGGAGTTACATGAACATTAACAAAGGCTTTTGCTATTTTCCAACCAATACATTTATGTAGAATGGTGAAGTACATCATTCTACAATTGAAAAGTCTTTATCCACATTTTTTATACTTTTTTATGATTTTGTACTAAAGTTTTTTATCATGTAATAGTGTGAATTTTTCTCTTATTTTTGTTTTTACAGTAATCAAGATAAGGTCTGACAACAGATATTATTATGACCATAGTATATTGTTGATATTATAAGTGGCATTAATATTTGTTATAATAATGTGGTGTTAACAGATTTTTAATATCAGCCCATATTTGTTATGCTTATTTGTTACAATCTTTTATAATTATACACAAGTGTAAACTTTGTTTATTATGTTTGTAACTACCTAGTCATATTTTTTACACTGTGTTCATTATAAATCAAATCCAAACATCTGTGATGGTATGATTCAAGGGTAAAGAATATTTTTTTCAGACTATGATATTTGGGTGCGATAAAAGGGTAATGACATTTTGACTATTTTGGTTATTTTGTAAAGCTTGCTATTTTGCAAGTTCTGAAAAGGTGCTGTTTCAATGAATATAGAATATTATAAATGTATCAATAGCTTAATGCATCACATTTTCTGATGTTTAATGAGGGTTTTAATAATGCCCACTGTCTTGTGTTTAAGCGGGAATTTGGAGTGTCAACATATCTTGTCTCAACCACATTTAGCCATCATTTTTTAAAATAAGGAATAATGAAGATATACATTTACATCAATAGATAATCTTTATGATAAAACCTTTTGTTCACTAACAAGTGTAAAAGATTAAAAGTTGAAATTCTATTAACTAATCTTAGTTCAGAAATTTTAGATGTAACACATTATTTATTTTAAAGTGCTGTTTGAAAATGGCCCATTATCCAAGTATCTGGAGGATGAGATGGAAAAGAGGCATTCTAGAAGGAAGCCAAAAGGGGTTGAATATGAATATTTTATTCTGTCTCTTTTTAAAGCAAACACACAGAAGGCAAGTGCAAACATCATTTATTGGTATCAAATCTAACGGGTTTGGAAAAAATAAAATCACAAGTTTTGTCATCATTGGCACTCCACTATTTCTTTCTAATCAAATGCAAAATGCTATGACTCCAGAAAAAACATCTATCACATAGACATACCAAATACTTCAAATTCCTCAAACATTAAAAAATGTGCAGGAAAATACTACCAAGTATCAGACTTGACAAAAAAAATGCTTGGATAATGGGCCATTCTAATTACAGAAGCCGACAGGCTTCTCAAGTTGAATATGAATCTTTAAAGTAACCAATAAATGGAACAACAAATAAATTAATATGTTATTATTATCAATAATAATTCAAACATCAGCAGTCTAAAACACAAGTCATTGTCTAAAACATCACTGCTCAATAAACATCTTGTGATAAGTTCATTGACAAATACATGTTTCCAATTATAATAGTCAAAACAATCCACAATGGATATAACATTTCAAGTATATATAACAACATCCCACATGTGTATGTAATCCAATTCCATATCTAGTCCTAGTAAATTAAATTGCAGCACATCTTCACAAAATCATCATAACTGTAGTACATTTATACATAATCATCACTTGCTGACTGTCCTGGTCAGCAACAACAAAGTAATTGTACCATGATGCATCCTCAAAATACTGTAAAATAAATTTCCATTTACTGAGATAAAACTACATTAGAAAATTTAACAACATGTTCATCAGATTGCTGATTTCTATCATTTATCTGGAATCGGTAATAGAATTTTTTTAATGTTTTTGCTGAACGCCAGTTTGCAGTTTTAAGAATGTCATTTAATGATATTCCAGCCCTGAATTTAGCATAAGTTAAAGCTCCTCTGGAGGAGTGAGCCTTAAATAAGGATATTTCAATTCCTGAAACTGTAATACTAACTTTAACTATCCGGCAAAAGTTGAAGTTGAAATTTTTTAAAAGTTTTAAATGAAACCAAGACATTACTAGATTTTCTTTGTTTTTTTGTCACTTTAAGATAATATATTAAATTAGTGACATGACATAATTTTCTTCTGTCAAACTTAATCAAATCTATCTTTTGGCTTACTCTACTAACTTTGGAAGTTTTTTGCAAACTTGTAACTATAACAGAAATACTTTTCTTATTTTTGACATATTTTTCAAATCTAAACTTGTTAGAGTTTGTGCTCTCTGTGTAAGGAAATTCACAATCAGAATTTCAGAGGTTGAAGTGGAATTAATTTTCCATTTATGACACCAAAGTGTCAATTTCGACAACTGATAGTTATACTGTTTTGCTGTGGATGGTCTCCATGACCCCAACAAAATGCCACTAGCGATTTTTGAAACTCCCTTACTTTTAAGGGATCTCCTGATATTAAACAGGCGACTAAGAATAGTTTTGTTTGGTTCATTGGATGTAATGTATTGTTGTGAGCCAACATAAGCAGATCTTTTTTGAAAGGAAGTTTCCTTAGGAAATCTACTAAACAATTCAATAATTTTGGATACCGTGGCTGTGTGGTCCACATTGGAGTAACTAAAAATGCTAATCTCACATTTTCTTTCTGTATTTCTTTTCAAAACTCTCTGGATAATGCTAAAAAGAAGAAAAATATGTGGTAAATAATCATTCCAATATAGAGAAAAAGCATCACAGGCTAAATCATCTTGGTTTGGGAACCATGAAACAAATTTGTCTAGTTGTTTATTTTACCTACTGGCAAGTAAATCAATTTCTGGCACAACCCAATTACTACAAATTGCATAAAAAACCTCTTTATTCAACATCCACTCAGGGGAATCACTAAATTGTCTAGATAAATTATCTTGCAAAACATTTTCAACACCAAGCACATGAACAGCAGATAAATACAAGTTTCTACTTGTTGTCCAGACCCAAATATCTCTTCAAATTTTCAACGGTGATACAACACTGCCTCCCATATTATTAATGTAACTAACTGTTGTTACATTGTCAGATTTTATACAGATATGTAAACATTGCAATTCATTGCAAAGGCTTACAAGGCCATATTTTACTGCTAATAACTCAAGAACATTAATATGCAAATTTTGTTCAACCTTGTTCCATTTACATTGAGTACTCGACTGACCAAAAACTGCACCCCAGCCTAAACCAGAGGCATCTGTATACAACTCTGCCTCGGTGAGCCAAAATTTACTATTTTTCCATTTGCAAGTTCAATTTTTCTATCCACCACTGTATATCCTGTTTTGCTTGTACAGGCAATATTGTTTTTGCATCATACTCATCATGAAAAACCTTCAAAGCCTTACTCTTATCGATATCAAGGTATCTATAATATAATGGAGCCATAAGAACTGCATTTTATGCCGATGCATACATTCCAACCAGTGTAATTAACTCTCTTATTGTAGGTAGCTTTTTACTTACAATTGTTTTTTGTATCTTTTCTTCTTGAACTCAACAGAGTCAATAATGAAACCAAGAAAAGTTATCCTTTGCGTAGGAACCAGAACAGATTTTTCCTCATTAGTAGTAAAACCTAGTGATCTCATCATTTGGAGTAAAAGAATCAGTATTATCTTGACAAATTTTGCTTGAAAATTCGAGTAACAGAAAATCATCTATGCAAAAATAAGAACCTGTGACCATGCTTCTGATATAAGAAAAATTAAGTTTCATAACTTTTGTAAGTATTCTAGGAGCAGTGCTCAAGCCAAAAAAGTAAATTCGAATAGTTGACCCTTCCACAAAAAATTTATAAATATTTTATATCATCATCATGAATTTAAATTGAAAAATATGCATCACGCAAATCAATGGAAGTATAAAATTCACATCTAGAAAGCCCACATAGAACTGTTTGAAAACATTCTTCTTTAAAATGAAAATATTTCACAAAATGGTTAAGTCTCACCAAATTTTAAACAGGTCTAAATTTAACATTTTTCTTTTTCACTAGAAACAAATCTGAAATAAACTCATTTCCTCGTGAAAAGATTCAGTAATGGCCCCTTTAATCGATAACAAATCAAAACCATCAAATTCACTATTCACTTCCGGTTCTTTTTGCAGTGCACTCACTTGGTCGGGACTTGCATTAAAATGATTAGTATTTGCCTTATAGTCTAAAAAGTCTTCAAGAAGACTACAAATTCATAAACTCGGTTTTCCTAACCTCTGTAGGGTGGGTCTTTTACTAGCTTTACTAGTCGACTGCAACGCATCACCACCGGAGTTATCTCTACTTCTTTTTAGTGGGGCCTTCCCATCGTGGTTTTTACCAGGACCCTTCCGGGGACCGCTCGACTTTTTAGGGTCATTAGTTTGTTGTTTATCAACACTATTCTCACCTGTCGGTACACACGGTGCAGACAACTCAGAGCAACTTTCTTCGTCTGAAGCGAATAATTTCATAATGTCTGCTTTCTCGTCACTTAAGATTAAGAGGACGGTCCTGGTCGGACTCTGAATCACACAAAAAACTGGACATGGCCACAATGTCCACAACTTGAAAGCACGTGTCGCGTTTGGTAAAAGCTGAGTCAGTAGATAAGTTGTAAGTTTAACACGTGTCTTACAGCCTTGGAATAAAAAGAAGCCGATTCGAGTATATCATTAGGTTTTATAGTACACGGCTCACTGAGCACAGGACAAATCCATTTCTGATTGATATATATTTTTACCTGTATTTACCTGTAAAAAAGGTCGTCTACAGCCAGTAGGAATAAGATATTTATATTTAACATGAGAAGCCTGCCGGCTTCTGTAGTTAAAATGGTCCATCATTCAAGCATTCATAGGGTGTGATGGATGATGGACGTTCTGTAAGGAAGCCGAAGGCTATAAAGAACAAAGATACATATCTTATTCTACAGTATACACACCTATATTCTGTCTCATTTCAAAGTACCCTGAAGAAGATGAGAAAGGAAAACTCATTTAATTTGTGCATAATATGGGTGGGCTATTAACCAAGGGCAGGTCATAAGTTTTGTAAAAATTCTAGGTGCACTTGCTAACCAAAAACAAAGAGCAGTTAATTCATAAATCTGAACCTTTAAAACAAATTACAAATATTTTCTACATTTGTTGTGCATAGAAATGAAAAAAATTGCAACACACAAATCTATGGATGTAAAATAATGATTCTTTGCAATTCTCAACAAAACAGACTGTAAATTTTCCTGTTTGAAATGAAAATATTGCACGTATTTATTCAGACCTTTCAAATTTATTAATGGCCTAAATTTGCCATTCTTCTTCTGAACAAAAAAAAAATTAGAAACATTCATCTTTCTCATGTTTTGAATTTTGTATTGCTCTTTTTGACAATAAAATTTAAATTTCATTATCAATTAATTCTGTTTCAGTTTTGTAAAACTCCATAGATTTCGGTGCAAAATACTGAACTGATTTACTCTCAAATTCAATTTAATAACAGTTTTTAACTAAACTGAGAATCCAAGGATCATATGATATTATCCCAAATTTTTTAAAACCAAAACGTATAGAAACTGCTATAAAAGAGCAAGATTGTTGGTTGATTACATCTAATATCTCCTACCTTTGAGGTTTCTGTAACCAGCTCTCACTCGGATGCGGGAGTTCCTCATGCCTCTTTGGACATAACTGCGTTTTGGTATCTTCATCAGCCCTTGTTTACACCTGGGGGCAACCATAGCTGCAACACCCTTGTCTCCAGTTTTTTTAAGTTGCTGAATTAACAACTTTCATTTGCTTGGCATCATTAATATCCTTCACCTTTTTTTTTGATACATCGTCTCCAAACAAATATTCAGGGACAAAAATTAAGGTATGGTGGAAAGTTGGTGATACTTCTGATCCATGATTAATTTTAATGTCATGCGTCTCACATAAGAATTTTCAAAGAAAACTGCACCTAACATTGACAAAGAATTGTTAGTATCGACTCTCATTCTAAATGCATCAGGTTTTGTTAGTGCTTATGTAGTACACATTACAGGAACAATACCAAACCCAGGGATTTTCTGTATAGTTTGGAATATGACAGTTCAAGTCAGGAATATGACAGTTGTTGTCCATTCGTTTGATGTGTTTTGTCATTTGATTTTGCCATGTGATTAGGGACTTTCCGACTGAATTTTCCTCGGAGTTCAGTATTTTTGTGATTTTACTTTTTGGAATGATAAATCATTACCCTTTGCCTGACGAGTTAACAGGTGCCAAATCTCAGAATTTACCTTAGGATGTGCCATCGACTTACTGTTTGATGGGACTCTATAATCTTTTGCAATTTCAGTTATCACATACTTGTGTTTTGTAACGGCGTTCACAAGAGCAGCAATACTCTTATGCGTCTCATTGCCACACTTGTCATCATCTTCAAAATTTCGGTATAGCATATGAGTACTCTTCCTCACTGTTATGTTCTAAATCAAGATACTCATCTTCATTATTGTTTTTGTCACCAAATATGTCATATTGACTAAAATCTACTGGACCTTCACCTTCATCGTCCATTACTTCCAGTGCACTCCCGTCAAAACTTCTTCTGGCATTATTATTATGCTTGTCTAACAAAAGTTTCAACTTGGAATAAATTCTTCTGAATTCATCTTTTCTCTTTACCTTACGAGGTAGAAGGCAAATCCTTTGGAACATTCTTAGACTGTTTAACGGCAGCTTTCTTTTTTTTTTATACTTTTCAGGGCTCTTTAAATGTTTTGTTTACTTTTAGCCAATGTAGGTTCCTCGTTTGTCTTTTTAAATTTCTTTACCGTTTCTGGGGTAACTACAACGACAATTATTTCTTCTTTTTAGGCGGTGAAATATGGACTGGTTCAGCCACATGTGAGAATCCTGAGAAACTAGGTTCATCCCCAGACACTAAAATTAATGTAATGTCAGCAAATTGGCTGTCTTGTGAAAGACTGGAGTCAGAGTTTTCAGAAAGAGACATATTAGACATGATTCCCGTCTGCTGATTCAGCAATTATAATATACTTCTGTGTTATTCTGGCATTAGGATAAAATGACAGAATATAGGTTTGCACAGTTTTATATATGCACGCATGAGTAGAATTGTACAAGTGACAATGATTTAAAATTACACAACTGTAAAATAAAAAAAGTCGTTACTAGCCTGTAGAATAAGATATTCATCTGTAACCAAGAAGCTGTAGGCTTCTATAGTAGAATATAAAACAGAATGTAACACTTGCAAGAAAATTTGTTTACACGTGTCAAATTGAACATGTGAAAAAAGTGTTCAAATTACTTTTCAAAATTAACATTATATCTGATAAGTGGCCTTTATAACAAGAGCAATCTTTTTGGGTGGAGGTTTAATTGATGACTAAAAAATTATCCTTCCTTAATTGATTTTTATATTAATATTATTTTTAATAGAAAAGCATGTGGCTACTTTTTTGTTCTAATTCTCATCTAAACACAAAAAAACCTGCTGGTGTAAGAGAATATGTAATATTTGCTAATGTAATGTTTTGACTGTAATAGGGGTACTAGCTTGATATTAACTTGAGTTATTTAATTTCAATATATTGATAAAAAGCCTGTGGCTGTTATTACTATTGGAATTAAATGAATAGGGTTTATATCAAGCAATATCCAATTCTCACGAGTAAAAATTCCCTGAATCATTGTTCTCGTCTTTTGCACATACCAGTAACCTTTGAAAGTCATCAATATCTAATGAATAACCAATGAAAATCTCCAAATATCGTTTCATGATGCTGAATAAGCCAATCAAATTAACACATTTTTCGTTCCACACTTCGTGTGTTGTAAAACGAGAAATATGTCCATGTAAGAAATAGATAACAGGCCACAACCATAAGAGAATAATTCTTATTAGGAACAGACATGGATAAATCTAATTTATTTCAACTGTAAACTGGACTAAAGACAGAAGTGATGTTTCAAGTGATGATTTGGTGATATGACAGGAAACTTATCAAATTTTAACACATAAGCCTCATTAAAAACCAGTGATTTCAGCTAATATAGCAAGAGTGCCTTGTAGTGAATTTGAGATTTTGAAACTGATAATGGCTTGATGGCAGTTGACCCCTTTATTTAATTTACAGCAGTTAATGACTGTGAAGGATTTTTTTTTACATTTATAACTGTTTATGTCTTATGTTGATGAAACATGTGTTTGGAATACCAAACTATAAGTCTTTTGATGAGTTGTTTTTAATTACTGGTCTTCGTAGAAATAAAGCAATTGCTTGTCCAGTACCTTAGATAATGTTTATGTAAATGTAAGCACTGTTTTAAAAAAAGTGCTATTTATTGTCTCATCAATATTTTTTACACATGAAAATGCATATTTTGATAGATATATTGTTTGATTGAAATAATATTATGAAAGATTAAAAAAATCATACTTTTTCACCTTTGAAAGAAACAATGTTAACCAATTAGAGGTTTCCTGACTAGCAACACGAATTATTGTATTTGACACTTTAAAGTTATTCCTCTGCCTAACAACTGAAAAAAGAACTCAAGGTTACTAATGGAAAACCAGTGCAAACCATATGAACATAAACTGGGCGCTACATGGCGCAATGGATGAAAACTGTTTTGTCATGTATTCCGAAAAACCTAAAGTCGCAGAATGTGAGACATAAGGTTTACAATCCGGCGGCTGAGACGGCATAGACTATTTGTTTAAAGCTTTATATTTCAGAATGTAGAAGACCTGGGTGCTTCATAACTTGTATGCAGATACCTTATGTTATTAATTTTCCGTCTGTCATTTGTTCATTGTCCATGACCTCATTTTCATGGTTCAGTGGCTGCTTTAAAAAAAATTACAATATATAGTATTTGGTATATTGGTATGCAAGGTCTCCATATTTGTCAGGCAGGTTTCATTTGACCTCGACCTCAGTTTATGGCTAAGTGGTGAAAGTAATGTTTATTTGATCAAGTCCATATCTTAATTACTTTAAGCAATAGGTCAACTATGTTTGGTGTTTTGAAAGATTGTAAGGTATACATGTCCGACTGGTTGGTATCATCTGACCTTGACCTTATTCTTATGGTTCATTGGACAATGTTTAGTTTTTGTGGTTTTGTCCTTGTTTTAGATACTATAAGCAATAGAGCCATTGTATTTTGTCTATGGAATGATTGTCAGGTGTACATGTCTGTCTGGCAGGATTCATAATACCTTGACCTCATATTCATGGTTCGTTGGGTAATGTTAATTTTTCATGGTTTTGCGAGTTTATAAGATACCATAAGTAATAGGTAAATCATATTTGGTGTATGGAATGATTATTAGGTGTACATGACAGTCTGGCAAGGTTCATATGACCTTGACCCTATTTTCAAGGTTCATTGGTCAATGTTAAATGTTCTTGGTTTGTCATTTTATCAGATACTATAAGCAATAGGACCCCTATATATTTATCTATGAAATGATTGTAAGGTGAACATGTTTGTCTAGCATGGTTCATCTGACCTTGACCTTATTTTCATGATAAGTTTATTTGATACTTGTAGTCAAACCTTTATATAGCAGACTTTCAACATAATGCAATCATAAGTAAAGCAGGCGAGAAATTTCAGCGTGTGCACTACTGTCAACTATTTCAAGAAGCGCGATGTTGTTAATGTCCCCTCTTCATGACAGATATGTTGTTTGTTCCAGCAGGTAAATCCCCAAACAATGTTAATTTCTTCTAGAGAACTCATTGTTTGTATTGCTTAACTAAAGAACTTTGAATTCACAGCAACTTTGGGGATCTTACATTTAAACCTACATCTTTTGCTAAATAGGAGATTTAAATAAACCTTTAAAGATGTTCTTCAAAAATATTGTGACGAGATATACTCAACCAACGATGTCAATCAGATATGCATTCTAAAAATTCTTAAGATCTAGTCAAATCTTTGATATAGATTATTAAAACTTTACGAAAATATGGAAAAAAAAACTTTGACTTTCTGCAATCATAAAAATGTGAGACTTTTTGATTTATATTTGTTGTGTTTGGCAGATCGATGTTTCAACAAACAGTCAGTTTGCCAATGGATTTGAACTTAAACTCGCAGATTGTTTTGTTTTGTTTTCTCATATGAATAAGAATTCATACAAAACATATGAAAGACAAAAAGAAAATCAAACCCTTCTCCGCAAATTACTTTCAAATATCCCACTGAGCTTGATATTAAGGATCTTACCGAAACAAGAAGGTCTGCTACATATCTAGATTATTTACTTAAAATTGAAAAAATAGACGACTTCAAACTGATCTATGAAATACGTGACAATTTCTATTAGAGATCCCCATTTCTCGCCTGTAACATACCTTCTGTTCATCGTCTGGCGTTGAATATCTGA